AATTTTTGTTCAGCAGTGTAATTATAGTTAAATTAACCCTCGCTCAACATCCTCGGCGATTTACGTCCAAAAACTCCTGATAGTTTGCTATATGATAGCCAACCCGCCGAAGTAAATAAAGAAGCCGTACGCTAGCCAGACTAGCTGCTGCCTCGACCTAAGCTCTTCTTTCAAATTAATTTAATACAATTAAAATTACAATTTTCACACTTAAGTATCAAGTCTAGAATTATCAAATTTTTTTTTTCTCTTCAGTTCGTTTGTATTATATTTTTTAAACTTGGTTCATTTTTTTTTAGTAAAAAGTTTTAAGTCAATCAAAGGTACAGTATTTTTTTTTGATGAAAGTGTAAAAGCCTGCATAAAAATTTGCTGCATATAACTCGTAAAAAAAAAATAAAATTATCGCAAAATCTTTGGTGTCAATATTGCTCACCATATTAACTTTCAAAATCGGTCAATGAAATATAAAAAAAATCGAAAAGGCAACTTTGGGTGTCCCAGTTGAGAAAACTTGACTCACTCACTGGTGCTTATGGAATCGGACAGGATGAATTTATAATCGGCGGCCGCCTTGCCCGAGTGGTTAATTTCTGCACTGCCATCCGATAGAACCCAGGTACGATTCATTCTCATGATAGTGGGGTCCACATAACCAGAATGATCAAGAGTTGTGTTCCGCTAAATTCCCGNTCAAAAAACTTTTCACTAACGCCCTATTTCAGAATTTTGTTGAAGAACGCCCTATTTCAGAATTCGATTCAAAAATGCCCTATCACACTTCAAAATGTATTGAAAATTTGCTGATATAGGGCGTTTTTGAAACGAATTCTGAAATAGGGCGTTCTTCAACCAAATTCTGAAATAGGGCGTTTTTGAAAAGTTTTTTGTGTTTTTGTACTGGCTGCCGAGATAGGTCGATCTTCCACTCAGCAGTCGAAAAGCTTTGCTCAACAACTTTACTTAAAAATTATATCTTAAAACCCTCTCAAGGCTGGTCTGCTTACCTCACTTTCCTTTTTTCACAAACTGTTTTTTTTGTAAATATGTACGGCTAAATGTATGTATGTATTAGAGTCCAGCGCAATTGTATTTGCCGCATTTCATGTATGCGTGTACAAGTGATTTATAAAGGAAAAAGATTTATTTACTGTCATTTATTTGAATAAATTATTCTTTAAAGATCAAGTTCACTAATAAATTTATATCCGTTTAGCCGTGAAATCACCTTAGAACATAATGGACAAATTCAAGTTTACAAATTGTCTACACAGTTTCAATTGTAGTTACCAGAACTTTACCGATTCGTTCCGACCTGCAATAATGCATTGAATATTGAGTCATTTTGAATTCGTTTGTACGCCACCCAGTGTGTAAAATATGACGGCGCTTAATCCACGGCATCCCAATGTCAAAGCTGCCGGCGAACAGACAGGCAAACAATAGCACTCCCGCCAAGATCAGTCATAACAAAACTATATAACCACACAAACAAAAATCATACAAGGGATTACAATAGCACCCACATTGCATTGACAATAGAATTTTTCCCTCAGGGTAGGTACGACTATGTATGTATGTATGAACGTATTTCTGTAACTGACATTGCAACAATGTCCCAAATGTAGCAGCAAGACTGCAAACAAATGTACTTATGTATGTAGCTCTTATGTGTTTTATGTAGGTATGCATGCAAATGTTTATCATCTATTTATTATCAGACATGCTACTCAAATTTGAATGCAATTAAATTCTGAATGATTTACAATTGAAGACAAAAGGTGGAGTCTAAATTGTTTAGCTGTCCTTCGCACAATGCGTCAATGCAGCTTAACAAATCCTATTGTGGCCAAGACACAGACAGAGCAATTCTTGCCATCGGCGATGATGAATACACGCTGCTCGGGTGAAGTGATTGTCGCGCTTGCCACTGCCAATTGCCACCTATAAAAGAACCAAAATCATAACATAAACTCATTTCATATTAAATATATATGTACATATGTATACATGTGACTGGCTGTGCAACGCCATGCAAAGGATGATGTCAGACAATTAAAAAGAATTATCACCAGCAAGCTAGAGTAGGTGAGCCGCCACATGAACGAAATTCAGCTCGACATGGTAATGAATGAAATGTTTTTTTTTTAAGGCGCAGCGATCTCTCTAATAGTAAAAAATACAATTTAATATTTATGTAAGTATATGAATGAGAAATTTATTAAACTCCCTTTTGACTCTCACGGGAGCTTGCACACATATCATCAGGCAAGTGTGCTGCTATTGAGACCTTTAACCTGCACAAAAGCATGCACCTCAAGGCTCTATTGGTGACATGTTGTTTAGAAGTAAACGCTTGGGTGGTATGCGCATATGTCTTCTTATAGCGCAGTTGAGGAATTGGAATGTCTGTGATACTTTGTTTGATGGTAGACTGTCAGTTTTTTAATTCATATGTATGAATTGTGCCATAAATATTTATGCATGTAGATATGCCTGTGTCTGTAGGTGCGGTAATGCATTCAAAATGTGTTACCGTGAAATGCATACCAGTTTTTGAATGGCTGTTAATGTCAAATTTATTAATATTATAAAAATTTATGAAAATTGTGTCTGCGGTCTTATTACAACCAATAACAATAATGATAATGATGACAATCATGTTTAAATGAGAAAATATTTCATTTGCATGTGGGAAAATCTTGAACACAAAAGGTTGTCGCTTAGCTTAACCAATAATTAATAAATGTATGTAAGTATATGTCTGTATTTTTTAGCATTCATAAAAAGCAAAGTTAAGATTTAAATGTTTCGTCAAACCTAAAAACTTGCGAAAAGTCTCAAAAATACCCAGAAAACATTGAAAAGCGCGTAATAGCCACGAAAACGTAAGAAATTCTGGAGAGTGCCTCGGAGGATTTTGAGAAAAATCAAAAATTAGCCCCGTTGGGAAGTTTTGGAATTGTTGTAATTTATTGTCGATTAAAAATAACCCTTTTAAAGTCTAATTTCTGTCTAAAGAATTTTAACATTTACCTTTTCATTCCTCTTTTTGTTGTCCAAGCCAGCTGCACCATGCTACACAATCAGCATCTCAGATAGCAATCTCTTGCATCTTTCATTTATTACAACATCTTCATGCACTTTCTTTTGAATTCAAAAGATAAAATTTATCGCACAATTCCTTGGTCATTCATCAATTCAACACCTTTTCACAGATATTTTTGTAACCGTTTACAAAATTGATTTAATACTTAAACGTTTGGGCAAAAATTTAAAGTATAAAATTACCAGAAGAATTACACCAGAACATTAATCAACTGAAAAAAACTGGTTGTCTGCAAATACATAATTGATTGCACTGCTTCATCCAAATGTGTAGAACTTACATTTACTCTTCTTTTTTTTAACATTTTTATCAACGCTAAGTTTACTTTCTTTACTTCCAGACCGAAGAGGACAACTTGATGAAGAAATTGACGTCACGCGAACGGCGCTTCATCAAATTTTCGTCTGTGGAATATCAAGGGCAATTGTATATGACGCCACAGGATTTCTTGGATAGCGTGGTTGAGCAAGAGCCAAGACGTAAGTAGATTCTTAACTAAAGGCATTAACAATACTTATAAAAGATACATACATAGCTCGGTATTATGTTTTGCACTATTAATTGTCTCTTTATCTTCACCTCCCAGCTCGTTTGAAACGCCGCACTTTAAGCGACCAAGATTTGCAGGTGATAAAAGACAATACACCGCCTTTGAAGAAGGGCTCGAAAATGTTGTTCCGTACTCTAAGGGACAGAGGTAATTTTTGAAGTCGGTATTTTTGAACGATATTAATATGTAGTTAAATTTTAAATACTCACATACTTTTGGTTAGGTTGCTTCTTAGTGTCGCCAAGAGTTAGAGCATAAGGGCAAAGATTTTAAATTATACTCTAATAAACAGTTTTTCGAGCCTTAGTAATTTGTTGACCTTTTGATTGGCTATATTCGGGCAACGAGGAGTAGAACGCGGAGCTAAGGAAGTTCAATCGCGATCTGCATAATGTTTGGCAGTGACATCGAAGGTACTCAAGGGTGCGCATGCCATTGTTGCCATCGTATGCTAAACATGTTTCAGGCTGTATTAATTGGCGTGGGATAGCGTGAGACACAGTGCCCAGTGCATGAGACTAAGCTGCAGTCTACGGGCAAATTGGAAAATTATTATAAATTAAAAATTAAATCAAATGGAAGAACTTGAATTCAATTATGCATTGCTTGACGTCACACAAAATTCGTAAAGTAAATGTGACAACAAATGAGATATTATGGAAATCCTCTTTTAGAAACTAGTACTATAGTCTTTAATTACAAAGTCATTGTCTTCACACGCGTTTGTTTCAAATTGAGTTTGATGCTATCTATTTGCATTGTTTAACGCCAGGTATATACATATATTCCTTTCTTTGTCATTTAAGGCATTATCTCCTACACAGAATATCTCTTTCTCTTATCTGTTTTAACAAGTAAGTAAAAAAAATATTATTTACAGTTTTTAGACAATGATTTTAACATGTTTTTTTTTTTTGTACTCTTAAAGAACCTATTTCCGGTTTCCGCATTGCATTTAACATGTTCGATACAGATGCCAATCATCGCGTTGAAAAGGACGAATTTCTAGTGGTGAGTAAATTCAAAACGTTCACAGTGATAGATAATTGATTCATGTAAAGGATCAGAGCTTCCGCCTTTTAAATGTACAAACGTACAAATATCATCAAGGAAAATTTGCAAAACAGATTGTTTTGCTTAGAATAAACTTGAGTAGGTATGAGGCAAGGTATCGTAATATTGGCCTCATCGCATCGGACTGTCAAAGCTGCTATCAATATAAATTTCATTCAGCGATATACTGAACCCAAAGTGCTTTTTAGCGGTATTATACTGAAGGTCAGCTTTGAATTTGCCTCGCTTTTGATTCTACTGAAATAGTTCAGATAAATTTTGCGGCGGGTAGAGAGTATAAATCATATCAGTACATTCCTCGATGAAATGTGTGTTAAGAGGTTTCCCGTAACTCAATGCTGTTCAACAGTTACATATCGTCGGTGGTAGTGCAAAATGGTTTTTTAAATGTTTTCATTTTTTTTTGTTGCATATTGCATAGCATGTAATTTGCATTATTTACGACTATTTTATTTGAATTACAATTATTTTTTATAAATGTTATTTTTTATTAGTTCTTATATATACGTTATAATACTTTTGATTTGATATTTATATTTTATTTCATTTAGATTTTAAGAATTTTGGGTGGCACCTTCAAGCGGTCGAAAGTCGATGAGGAAACACGTAAACTTGTAAGCATTTCATATTCATCTTCGAAGTTTAAAAAATTAATTAATTATAAAATATCAGTATACAGTATTAAAAAAAAAAAATTTTAATTCAAATCCAAAACTTATCAATATTGTGTGTAATTCGTAATTTTTTAAATTTCTGATAGCCAGCAGTGGAAGTGTTTAGAGCCTCCGAAAATAGGTTATTTAATTTGCTTATGTATAAATTGTATAGCAGCATATCGTCGTTTAAAGTACAAAACCGCGTATCAGCAAAATGCAAAACCGCGTATGTTGTATAAATTATTTTCTAGAGAGTAAAAATACTCATATTTCAAAATGGTTTTTTTTTTTTTTATTGTAAAGCTATCGCATTTCTGTCTTAGTATATTTCAGGACGAATGGATAAGGATTGAGCCAAGAGTTGGGTAAGCAAATTTGCAATTTTTTGCAGCAAATGTCAGTTGCGTGGTTTTGTACTTTAAACGACGATAGAATTAGTAAAATTTATTTTTAATATTTTTGCCACTCACTAATAATTTTATTTCGAATTAGTTGTTAAGTTTAATTTGGCCTAGAGAAACAGCTGAGGCACTTTTTATGAAAACTAAAAAAGGAACCAATGAAAAGGAGCATGTAAATGTAAGTCGGGGGCAGTGTTTAATTTTGTTTCCTTTTTATGTTTCGTTTTGTTAATTCTCATATTTTACATACTATAATTTGTTGTTTAGTTGAACTTGATTTCTTTATCTTTCGCCTACACTACGAAAAAAGAAAAAAATGGAAAATTAGTATTCAGTTTTTAAATGCCAGAAATGTTTTTCCGCAACCTTGAACTTTTATACTGTATGGTCCTGCTTAGCTCTAGAACTTTCAAAAAATAAACTTTGCTTCCTTAGACTATTTTAATGTAAGTAAATACAATATTCATGAAAATACACAGTGCCGCCTTCGCTTTTTACGAGTTTTGTTGTTACGTTTTTTTACTTTAACTTTTTTAATTTATTTATAATACTTTATACTATGTATGTAACATATGTATTATTTTTTGTAAGTAACCAATTTTATGTTATTTATTCTTATGTTATTCATACATACTTTCGGTTTTTTTTACTTACATGATAACTTTTTACTGTTCTTCAAGTTGTTCTGTTAAATTTTATTAATCGCATGAAATTTGCTTATCTATATGTCGTCACTAACTTACACGCTTGCAATAGATGGAGCGCATTTTTAGTGGAGTTTGGAAGGGTAAACGACGCGTACAGGACGATGGAGAAAAGAAGCAACTAAAAGAAGAAGCAGAGAAACTAGCGCAGGTACAGTATGTTTCTTCCATACATATGTATGCACAGCCTACAGACTTTAATTAGAACAACTTATTCGGGGGCGTTAGTTCAAACATCTTTCAAAAATCGTTTTGGAAGGGTGCTATAACTTCTTTAGAAGCACCTTATAACCTACGTAAAGATCAGATAGGACCAAATCTCTCGCCACAAAAACAATAATGAAAACACTTTACACGAAATAATATACCTTACTTGCAAATCTTTTACATTTTGAGACCGAACGAATTTTATATTTTGGACCTCAAAGTGCCTTAAAAACACCAACCAAGTCCGAAAAATAATGCTCGAAATATGTCAGAAAAAAATTTAAATTTTCCGTAAAGTAAACTCGAAAAACAAAAATTGAAATAAATCCAAAAAATGCGGATAATTTTTGAAAAAATTTCCTAAAAGTAAAACTCAAAGAATGCAAAAATAAAAAAACATCCGAAAACATATATTATTCTGAACAGAACCGAAAAAATTCTGAACTCTACGGAAAAAATTACGAAGAAATATTGGAAACTAAAACATTATATATCCTAAAAAAAATCCGTAAAAAATCTCAAATAGTAAAGTTCGAAAGCTTTCGATAAAGTCCCGACAAAAAAGTTTAAAAGTCTACAAATAAAACACAAAGTACTCCGAGAAATTCCTCAACGGTCCCAAAAAGATCTCAATAATAAAACACGAACAATCCCGAAAAGTCAAAAAAAGTATTCCGAAAATTCTGAAAATCCTAGATTACCGTAAAATTAAACACGAAGACTAAAAAAAAAATTATTTATTTTTGAACGAATTTCCGACATCCCTTCTCAAGCTTGGTTTGTAGATCATCTTACCTCCCTGTCGGAAAAATCAACCAACATCAACACAGGGATAAGAAAAGTTTAGAGGAAATAGCAAGAAATCTCCAAATAAATCTAAACAGTACGGAAAAATTTACGAGAAATTTAAAAGTCGAAGGCTCCCGGAAAAGCACCGAAAAAATCCTAAAACTCCCTAAGCATAAAACACTAATTACCCGGAACAATTCTAAAATTTCTCAACGGTCGAGGATCTCGAAAAGTAAAACACGAAGAAACCAAAAAGGTGCAAAAACCGCAACAAAAAATTTAAAGATTCTGAACGGTGAATAGAAAATCTAGAAAGAACCACAAAAACTCCTGAAAAGCAAAGCACGAAGAATCCCAAAAAGCCCAAAAACGAAAACAAAAAATTTAAAGATTCTGAACGTTCATGAGAAAATCTAGAAAACAAACCCAAAAACTCCTAAAAATAACGAAAAATCCCGAAATTTCTAAAAATTTAACACGAACCCGAATGCTAAAAAAATTTCTGAAGAATTTCTAAAAGTAAAAAACGAAGAATCCTTAAGGGGCGTTAAACCAACACAATTAGATTTAAACTTACACAATTAATTTAAAGGTTCTGAACGGTGATAACAAAATCTAGAAAAAACCCAAAAACTCCTAAAAAGTAAGGCCTGACAATATCCTAAACGTGCTCGAAAAAAATATCAAAAAATTTAACACTAGGCACCTAAAAAAAATCCTTAACGGTCCCGAGTAGATCTAGAATAGTAAACACGAAGAACCCCGAAAACTCCAAAAACCAAAACAAAAAATTTAAAGGTTCTGAACGGCGAAGAGAAGATCTAAAAAAATCGAAGAACCCCTTAAAGAGTGAAGCACGAAGAATCCCGTAAAAATCCTAATACGGTGTTGGCATTAGGCAATTTTACAGGANACCCGAATGCTAAAAAAATTTCTGAAGAATTTCTAAAAGTAAAAAACGAAGAATCCTTAAGGGGCGTTAAACCAACACAATTAGATTTAAACTTACACAATTAATTTAAAGGTTCTGAACGGTGATAACAAAATCTAGAAAAAACCCAAAAACTCCTAAAAAGTAAGGCCCGAAAAGGTCCTAAACGTTCTTGAAAAAAATTACAAAAAATTTAACACTAGACAACCAAAACATCCTTAAAAGTCTCAAAAAAATCCTTAACGGTCCCGAGTAGATCTAGAATAGTAAAACACGAAGAAATCTGAAAACTCCAAAAACCAAAACAAAAAAAATTAGAGATTCTGAACGGCGAAGAGAAGATCTAAAAAAAAAAACGAAGAAACCCTTAAAAAGTAAAGCACGAAGAATACCGTAAAATCCTAATATGGTGTTGGCATTAGGCAATTTTACAGGAAAATTTTAGCTGAAAGCAAAAATCGCCTGGTGTGAACGGTCTTTCAACTAATCGCTTCCAATGGAGTTGAGGTGCAGCCAACTTTTGATTCAACTAATCGCCTCTAAAATTGCCTGGAAAATCGCCAAATGCGAACACCGTCGCCCCAAAAAAAATCGAAAAATTAAGCACGGGAGTCGCGAAAACAATCGTGAACTGTCCCGAGAAAATCTCGAAGTTCACGAGAAATCCCGAAAACTTAAAACCGATTTATTTAGCATAAAAATTTACAAAAAAAAAGTCCTGAATAGTTCGAAAACCTTGCAAAGTCTAGGAAAAAATTTCAAAAACTCGCCAAAAATAATCGAGAGGTGAACATATGTTTATGATATTAAACTAAGAGCAAATTTCAGTTAAAAAATGTGAGGCAAAAACTTTGCATGGGAACCTATTTCTTAATGAAAACACAGTAAGACAATATGTTCACTTCTTTGTCTTTTCGATTTCATGATCTACAAATAATTTGTATTCAGTCTTAGCAAGGAAGGAAAGCGTCTAATGGGGTGGCCAAATAATTAGGGAAACATCTTCTTAACAAGTTTTGGTCATATATTATTTATTTATTTTTTATTTATTGTTTTACAAAAATAAAATTTATACCACAACGAAACCCATCTATCTTAAAGTTGCAAACCTTGTAAAAAAGATTTTATAAAAATAAGGAAGAAATAAAAGCGCAAAACGCGTAAAGTAGTGTTGTTGTTGTTGTTGTAGCGTCGCTCACTTCACTTTTCCGAAAAAACGGTATGTATTTTATGTGTCTCATGTTAACCACGAACCTGCTTAAATGCATATAACGGTAAAGCATGGTATCAAGGCTTAAAAAAAAAGTTTAACACTAACCACCAACCAAAAGAACATAAATCAAAATGGGACTTAACTATTGCATGATTACTTATATATGTACGTACATACCTCAACTGTTAAAGTTCTATTCTACTCACTCTCTTGGCTACTCACTCCTTAGCTCAGCAAACTCACTACGTATTCAATTTATTTCCACAGGACGACTTCATCGATGACGACGAAGGGCTGCAGCGCAAGCATCGCATCGATACGACACTACAAATACATTTATTCGGCAAGAAAGGCAATCAGGATCTCAACTACGATGGCTTCCACAAGTTCATGGATAATTTGCAAACAGAAGTGCTGGAATTGGAGTTCAGTGAATTCTCAAAGGGTAATGTCGCCATCACCGAGAACGATTTTGCCAAAATTTTGCTGCGTTACACCTACCTCAATACGGAAGAGTACGATGCCTATTTGGAGCGTCTAATGGATCGCATTAAGGTGCAGCGTGGCATAACATTCGAAGAGTTTCGTGACTTTTGTCGTTTCCTCAACAATCTGGAAGATTTTGCAATCGCTATGCGCATGTATACGCTGGCTGATCGTGCTATCTCGCAGAGTATGTTAATAACGGTTAAATTCATTTTTTTTTTTTTTTTTTTAAAAAAATATCTCTTCCTTTCAGGTGAATTCTCGCGCGCTGTAAAAATCTGCACTGGTTTCAAGCTTAGCAAACATCTGATCGATACAGTTTTCGCAATTTTCGATGACAATGGTGACGGTATGCTGTCGTACAGAGAATTTATAGCGATCATGAAGGATCGTGTACATCGTGGCTTTAAAGTAAGTCATCACAAAGTGCTTGAATACAATGTTGCTAACGATGAATTAGTCGAAGCGGCGAATCCTATGTTTGCATTGTGGCGCCAACGCGCCTGTCGCCACTTAGATCACTTCAAAGACTGCGATTTTTTCAATAATTTTTGAAGGCAAAAAATATTTTTTTTGCTTTGATTTTTATTTTGAATTAAGTCAAAGAAGCAATTCAATGGAGATCAATATGATTTATGTAGTTTATAAATAAGTTTAGTTTTTCATAATGACTTTATGCTCGAACCATCCGCCATCGAATACTTGTGCACGACAATTTCTGTACAAATTATCTTTATTTTGCTCCCTTTTTTAATTTATATTAACTTTGTTATTTTAATACATTTTTTTTTTTAATATTTTGTCCACATGTTTGTTCTAATTGCGTTGTTCAACCATTAACATCTTTGTAATTTCAAAACTTAAAATGCTCTCAATTCGTGAAATCAGCAATACATTTACGGTTTAAGTGCACTTTCATAATTACTATTAATACACATTTTTAATCATCATTTATAGCATTGCATTATTCTAACAATTTTTCTAAGTTTAATATATTCAATTTCATTTAATTGTTCAAAAATATCGTTATAACAAATATAATTTTCTATAGAATTAACTGTCTTGACTTTTTAAGCTGTACTCGTAAATAAACTTGAATTTTTTGCTGATTTCACAGGCATTTAATAAATTTGTTAGCGGCTAATAGCATTCCACGTTTTTTATATTCATTATGTTTCCTGTTTATTCTGTTCATTATTAATTAATACAAATAAAACCACATTTACTAGCAAAATTTTTATATATCGTTTTATTAGCTTTCTTTGCTTTAAGTTTCACACTCCACTTTTTTCACGATTTTTTCTTCAATTGTTTTTCTTCTTCATGTTTTTTCACTATTTCACTAAGGAAGGAGCGTTTTCACATTGGAGATTTAACTCACTTTAATAATAATAATTAACATCCGAATGTGAATGAAATTTTCACTGTGTGAACGATCCTAATGTTTTTCACACCGTCCTGGTCATTGATTATCATGTTATAGTACCATTTAAAATTAACTACGTTTGTTGGCAAGCAAACCTTACCACCACCCATAGCTCATTTAATTTTAGTGTACTAAAGTGTAAGCTTGAAGTCGCTCAAAGTTCTGATTGAATTTGGAAATTTTTTTTTACTTGCAAGTTATACTAAAAAATGGCCTATTGCATACCCGAAATTTTCGTAAAAATTTTTATTAAACAGTTTGAAATTTTGATAAAAATTTTATAAATTTTTCTTAATTTTGTACTATGTTTGAAACCTTTTTTTTATATATTTAAGAAAAATATTAATTTACAAAACTCTACTAAATTTCAAAAAAGTACGGGGGCATCTCGACAGGCCATAAACGGCATTCACAGAAAGTCCGCTGCCACCTTCAGACATTCTCGTCCCATGGATGCAGTTTTTGGAGCCCAATCAGCTTCCTTAGCAGACGAAGAGCTTTTACTGTCGCGAGAGACCCCTACGCAACTCTGGCCCAATGAAGGGCTGAATATTGCAGTCCACTGAACTCGTATTTATTCAGACTCGACCTCGGCATACCAAGCACCTGTCCGGCTTGTGAAGTCTCCCCAAACGACACCAACCACCTCTTCACCTGCCCACTTAAAACCGATTCAGCTATCATCCCTTACCCTTTGGTCCGAACCAAAACGAAGAGTTTTCTGGGCCTTCCGGGCTGGTCGAGCTGGACGAAAACGATTGATCGAATAGCCACTTAGAGCTGAGCTGACCGGTCACCGGTCTGTTAGTTCAGATTGAAATATGCTTAATAATCTGGCAGTCGTAAGGTGAGGAAATTTTCCTTATATATATATATAAAATAGTACCCTGAAATGCCAGCTTAATAGGGTAGTAAAGGGTTGCCTGATTCTCTCTTCAACAGTCCGTTTCTGGCTAAATTTCCTATTCAAAATGATTCCCAATATCGAAATTCGTCCGCCAGAGTCAATTTCAGTAACAGTTTTTGTTAGTTCGACGTTGACTCCGTACTCCTCTGACCGTGGACTAGTTTCCCATAATATGTAAGGCTTTTTTTTCGTCTAACGAGCTCGGTGAGACTTTCCAAAGCCGTTGTTTAAGTGAAGAGATATCGCCCTATTCATCTCAATAACGTAGCGCCAGAAAATATGCCACAAGAATTCATATTTAAGCACTTAATAGCCGACTCACGGAGTCAGACGCACGGTGTATGCCGCCTATAAGAAATGCACAGAAAAATCAAATAAAAATCAGTTTGAAAAATTTGTAAGTATAGAAAAATGTTTTTGGCATATTTTTATGCGCAGTGGTTATAACAACAGTGATAAAATCGGGCCTGTGATGCGTAGAAATGGAGCTGTTACATTATCGTCGAGGTTTGACTTTACAATTTTCTACTGAAAGCTGACCGTTTATTCTTCATGATCCAATGGTCGGAACCAAACCAAATTAGTATGGCACCCTTAAGGTACTAACTTCCGATAAAAAAGGAATTATCGAAAACGTTTCACGTGCTCCAAAGTTACCTGGTAACATACATAAAAAAAATACAGATAACCTCCCCGCTTTTTCGAAGTCGGAAAGAAAATTGGCAAGTATTTCAATTGTTTGTTAATATTCTTGATAATTTTATCTTCTTGTGGACTGAAAACATTTTAAATAGTCCAAAGCTGTATCAATATGTATTTATGTATGCAGACGTTTCACCTTGAATAGAAAACCAAAGTTGGTTAACCTCAAATACCTACCATAATATTGTTCTGCTGCATTTTTTTTTTTTTTTGTTATTAGTACAGAAAATTGGAGTCGCAAATTGGTAATCTGCAGTTTTTTTGCATGATGATCAAATATTGTTGAATAGTATGAAGCTTGTCGGAACAAATGATTTTCTGAACTGTGGGGTATGAAGAATTGCCGCCACCAACAAAACCAGAGCGGTCAACGTATTTTCTAACTTAGCGGATCATTTGCTTCTCAGCCAGACTACGACCAAGCGATAGTATTTATAGAAGTTGGTTAAACCTCAAAATTTCCATTCCATCGCATTTTCTTTTTTACAGAGGGCTATAATTTTAAATTTTAGGCAGGGACCGAAAATAACCGCTAAATATCAAGATTTTTTTTTTTAATTTACTGCAAAATCGTTTTTTTTTGCATTAACGGTCAAATTTAATCGTTATTTTGCGACTTTTTTCGATCAAAAATAATCGTTATTTTGAATTTTATTTTTCCACTCATTCTAATCGTTTAATGTGGGCTGCCTGTTTATGACCGATGTTTATTGCTTATGATGTAAAAAATGGTGGTTCTAATATGAAATCAAAAATTTCTTAAAAAATAAAAATCATAAAAAACGATTAAATTTGTTCGGAAAAATAGTAATCCAATTTTAGCTGTTAGATTACGTTTTTTTTTAATGCAAAGGAGGTTTCGGGGTTTTCCATAGGTTAAAAATTATATTTTTTTACAAGAAATTTGTTGTGTTTACTTCTTCTCTTTGATCTGCAGATTTTCATTACGCCCGGGGCGTAAATGGAACGAGGCGCCCTTTGATGATAATTTTTGCACCTCGGTTTCTTTTTCTTATAGGATAATCAATGTATTGTCAAAATAGTCGAAATTTAAGAATATTTAATTTTTGTTATAATCAAAATTTTCGAATATCAATTACAAAAAGTTTACTGTGCATGCTTTAGCTTGAGCAAATTTGTCGATGTTATGGACAAGTGAGTCTGAGTGGCAATCTCGTTTTCGATAGATAAAATATATAAAGCGTTCAATTTTTCTTCGTAATCTTAAGTACGTCTTGATGAGCTTCAATTTCGAAAAACTTTGCTCCCCGCTAGCAACAGTTACTGACAAAGTCAACAAAATCCTGAGTGATCCAAACATTAGACCATTAGTACGGATTGGGATATTTGGATCGTCAGCCATATTGATGGATTTGAAAATATTTATTTATTTATTAATGCTAAACGGTATGATCCAGGATCGCGATCCGTTATGATGGTGTGACAGGCGCCTAAGGAAAGACATCGATGACATTTTTATTGACGATAAATTGAAGAACCTCTAATGACCGTTGATGGGTGTATGTTTAATACGCCGTAATTGTTTCAACTCTTCATAACGCTCCAATCCATTTATGTCCGACATAATGGTCTTGCAGCGAGTTAAAAATTTTTTAAATTTAAATTCATTTTTTATCAGAAGCAATTCGTTGTGGATTTAATTTTGAATTAAAATCTGGTAATGGACTGGACATATCGGACGTGACAGATTTTCCCCCCATACAATATTTTTACTAGTAACACATACTAAATTTAATTTTTTATTTAATTTCTTCAGTTCTTCTCTCCACCGTTTCGCGTTTTCAAAACCTTTTTTCGTCATCTGAATACGAAATTTAAAGTTATAATTTCAGTTTGAATTCATTTCCTTGCATTTTTCAGTTTACCTTTTTTGGGAAATGCCCATATGTATATTCAAGCCGAGTAAATCCTAGCAGATGGATGTTAATAGCGGATTTTCACATTTGAAAATTGTATGCAAAAAAATTAAACTCCACCTCAAAATTTTGCACCACCCGAATTTTGCGCTAGGACTTACCATTGATTTTTGGGAATTTTTTTTTGTTGAAAGTATCGCACATTTTTTCCATATAAAAAAATTATCAAACATTATTTTATATGGAGAAAATAAGCGACACCTTCAACAACAAAAATTGCTAACAATCAATGGTAAGTCCTAGCTACCTCAGACTTGCAGTTTGTTATACTAAAATTGAATGGGCTAAAAAACCGCATACTCAACTTTTTTCTAGAGAGCGCAAATAAAAAGTGCAATATTTGAATGAAATTTTGCAGAATTTTCTTTAATTTTGTACAAGGTTTGGAGCTCTGATTTTTGGGTTTTTTGTTGTAGAATTAACCATATGTTTATAAAAAGTTATCGAAAAGTAAAATATTTAAAAAACAGTTGTCCGTATTTTTTAAAATTTGCTGTACCTAAACTTTATTGACTGACTGTATGTTTCAAGTCAGTTTGTTCTCAAAATAAATTGTATTAAAAATATATATTTTTTTTTATAAAATTTTGACTTTTGGACTTTTGGAATACCAACATTTGGGCCTTATCCCGAAAGTCAGGTCTGCGTTACCGGATAAACCCAGGTCTACACCCGGTGTCTCATTTTGACAAGTTTGAACAATTTATTTTTCTTTTATATAATTGTAGTTCTTGTTTTTATAAAAATATGGTTATTAATGGCATTATTTAAAAAAAAAAAAAAAAAGCTGAGGAATCAAATTAAAAAGTTTCTAATATTTACGAAAGTTTGTTGAATGTGTTTTAAATATTGCGCAAAACTTGAAAGTTGTATTTGTATTTTTTTTTTTTGTCAAAGATTAAGCTATATGGGTATTCATCTAAGCGCGTAAATGCCTCGTAACCGATAAACTTCCTAAATAATATTAAGTCCTCAAAAACTCGTGTAGATGAAAAACTGAGTTAGATGAAATGTTTACCACCCTCGTGTGTATTCCAGAAAAAGCTCCTATGATGCATAGAATCGACAGGATTTCGTAATTTGACTGCGTAGTATTTTTTTTTTATGAATTGCTAGAAGTGAAACTCAAGCATAAGTGATTTTTTACTTAAGCTATATATGTCAGATTTATTCAAGTTGCAAAAATTAAATATTAACCACTTTTTTCTTTTTCTTTATAGTCCAGTTCCAAATCGGAGGGCTGGGATGCGTTTCGGCATTGTGTG